GACTGAAAAGTAACTCAGCCCGACTCAGACAACTTACTGGGGTTATATTCGTAAAAATGTCTTCTGTTTTTTTGTTTGGTCACAGAGGACTATATTGTAATTTCATAGCCCTTTTAGGTTAGATTTGCATTTGATTCAAGTTGGGGTCTAGTATTGGGGTTAAAACCAAGTTGTGGGTTAGTATTGGCAAAAACCCCTTCATCTAATGACTAATTATTATAAGTACTTGTATACATATTAGAAATTGAGATTAGATATGATACAATTTTTTTTTTTGCAATTTTGAAGTTTCAGTTTCTTTCGGATATCCATTTAAGTTCGAGTTCGGTTCAGGTAAAATCCATAACTTAAAATACTGTAAAATAAAATCCATTTGGTACTTATATCAGATTCGAATCCATTTGGATTAGAATTCTGGCTGTAAAATTTTTGTCTTTAAAGGCTGTAACTATTACTTTAAAAAAAGTTAAAAGCTTGATTGGTATCTGAAGCTTTAGACTCTGGTTGTTATAAATATATATTTAGGATTCATTTTCCAAAATATATATTACCTATTTTTTTCTATCTATTTTTATTTTTACAAGTCCATAAAATATATTGGGTAATTTAAAACACAAAATCAATCAAATTCCTGATCTTCGTAATTATCTTCAAAAATTGACATTTATCCGCGAAAATTGACATTTATCCACGAGCATGTTGCAAGCTCGGTCGCTACGTAGCGACCGAACATGCAACACGTTCGGTCGCTATTGGTCAATCAATTTTAAGAAGTGTTTTTATTTAGTAAAATTTGGTTCCATTTATAAAAATATGAATAATATTTCTTTTATTTATTATCAAAATAATAGTTAAAATTTAAACAATAATTTGTTTGTTATCAAAATTTGAATGATAATAAATTTATTAAATTTATTTAGTGCTTGTCCTTGGGGTTTTTCCTGGTTTGTTCTGCGATGTTTGGCTGTGGTTGGTTTGTTGCTGCAGGCTCTGGTCGTTTTTGGAAGGGCCTTTGGTCTTTTTCTAGTGTGGTTTTGACCTTCTTTATTTGCATCTATGCACCTTCCTGACTATATCATTATTACTCTTTTTCCTCATCAAAGGTTTGTCCCAAATGGGTTTTCTTTGATATGGATTTAATGAGGATAATGGTATGGTCATTCCAATTCTAACTTGTTCCACATGGTTAAATTGAGGGGGGGTGTTTGATGGTTTTTTGAAGTGTTTTTTGTTCTCTTTTGGTCTTGTGTTTCTTGGATTGGTTTGTCCCAATCTATAGCTGAAGCTCCTTTGGTGTAACTATGTTTTTTTTTTGGTTGAATAAAATTTAAATTCTTTCAAAAAAANAATAAAATTTAAATTTTTTAAAAAAAAAAAAAAAAAAAAAAAAAAACAACATTAATAAAAATCTAACGGCTTCTAGCCCATTTTATTATCAAAACTTTTTTGTCAACTTATTATTAAAAGTTATTAATTTATTTTTTAGACATGACAATATAGTAAATGATCTTGATTTTGATTTTGATTTTGATTTTGATTTTGATTTTGATTTTGATTGGATTTTATTTTAATTTTGCTAAATATTTTATTATGTTGAAGTGTTTAATATGTTGAAAAGAAAACCTTTAGAAAAAGTAAAAAAAAATAAGAATAAAAGATTCTCAAAGCCTTCAAAAAGCCTCGATTAGAAGCTTTGAAAAAAACAAACATCTCAAGACTAATATTGAAACAATGAAGGTTGAAAGTTTTAGAAGGCTTTGAGATAAATACAGAAAGAAAAAGCCTCATTGGTTTAAAATAAACTTTAGAGACTTTGAGATATGGAAAAATCCCAACAGCCTTCACGCTAATCGATTCTTTGGTCGGATTTGATTTGGATTTTTAATTAATATTTATTTGTCCAGTCCTAGGAGCATGTTTATTGCAGGTCTCTAAAGTTGAGTTTCTTAGCATACGTTATTTTAGCTTTTAATTAAACAAGTTAAGAGACATCTCTTAAATCTCTTATTTAAAGAATGTCTTTTAGCTTTTTTAGTTAGAAACTAAGAGACTGTGTGTTAAGAGATCCAACTTAAAATACTACAATAAGCATGGCTTAAAAAGAACGAGAGAGAAAAATGAGAATATTGTTTTACTCAAATTAACATGGATCCGAAAAAACCGGGTCAGTAGAAAATATGGTTGAAAACTCTTAAAAAAGTTGTTCACCTTTTGTTAAACCGACACTATATCCAGGCCCGTCTTAGATGAATTATAGACCCTGGGCTCAGATGATTTTTTCCCCAAAATTATAGCTCTATATTTCTATAAATTTATAAAATAGGACCCTAGTCTTTATATTTTTTAATAAATTTGAACCCTAATTTCTTTAAAAAAAAGAAGACCTTGTGCCTGTGCACTTTGGGAACATCCCAAGAGCCGGCACTGACTATAGCAAGCCCATAAAAAAATGACATGTAGTATTTGTTTTTCCAGAAACTTTTAAATATTTTCGATCTTTGGGTAAGGTTAGGAATAGTACCTTTGGGTCCAGGTTTTTAAGATCCTGCATCCAACTAGATACTTAGAACAACCTTATGGTGAAAATCAATATTCATTGATGAGAAGCAAATATGATTATGGGTAAGCGCAACCTCATTGGTGAGGTATTTCAACTCAGCTTTTAATCAAAATAAATTTATTATGGGAAAAAATAGTTTAACCTTTAATTATCAATTAATTATTAATTTAACTCTAATTTTATTTTAAATATTAGTTTTTTTTCATACGTGTCTTTTGTTAATAAAAATGCCAATACTAAATTTTGAAATATTTAGGATTTTGCCATCAACAGACTTATTTAGTTCACACAAATTTAAAAATATTTTTTATGAGCCACAGTTTATTTTTAAATTTAAAGACTTAATCAGATTTTTACAGATTTGTTACAACAAATTTTCTGTCATGTTTAGCCACAAAATTATTAAATAGTGCCAGATTAATTTTATTTGGCCACATATTTACTTAATTTAAACAAATTTACATAAGATTTGATAGATTAATCTTTGTTTAGCCACATATTTACTTGTTTTTTACAAATTTAATTTCGAGTTGACTGATTTATTTTCCTTTAGCCACATATTTATTTAATTATGAAAGATTTAGTTAAGATTTGATATAATTTGACAAGTTTAACTAGATTTTGATAGATTTATCTAGTATGTGACCACAGATTTATTACACTTTGACAGATTTGCTTAAACTAAAGCCACATATTTATGATTTGGCCACAGATTTTTTAAATTCCCCTTAACCAGAATAGTTATTGCAAACCAAATTAAATAATCTATTCTGAAATTATTTCATATACCAGTAATTGAAATTAATTTAGACCAAATTTTTTCAAACCAGCCATATTAGAATCAAAAGCATGTAAACAAAACTTAATTTAAACCAAATAGAAGAGGTCCTAATCTACACAGCACTCTTCACGTGATTACCTTGTTCATAACGAAGTTAAACTAAGCTTACACTAAAAAAACTAGACATTTACTTTGGTGGAGCAGGGAATAAATCAGTGATCTGAGGTTCTCCAACGACATCATAAATCTGAGCAGCAAGCTTCCGTCGAACATCTTGAATGATTTCATCACTTAACCCTTCAAATGTACAACCAATCGTCAAACATCAATGGACTTTATGATATAGATACCACAGTCTCCGGGATTGTCATTACGTGGAACGCTTTTGCTTTTCAACCTTTGTGCAATGAATTGTTTATCACTCTTCTTCCGAACAGCAGTAGGGATCATACCATTCAGAATCGCTGGAATCATCTTTGTAAACGGCCTGCAGCTGTTTCGCATTTCTTTATTATCTATCACGGTCAGGAACATTACGTTTCCTCCTTATATTACCTGGAGATTCTTCGGTGACATCCCAAAATCCTTGATCTACACAATATTTTCATCAACCAGGTTTGTTACATCGTCATCATTAACGTCATCATCCCACTGAGGCATAATCTCTTCTTCTGTTTGTGTAATAAAAGACCTAACAAATACCTATAAAATAACTTTTTTCAATTATACTTTGGAAAAAAATATCAATAGAGAGCAGGTGTAAGGTCCATGAAGGCGATGGTAGAAATCGATGGTGAAAAGCGATGGTGGTTTGCCTTGCCAGAGAGTTTGACACCGGAGATGGGAAAACGCTGTTTGAAATTTGTTGGAGGAAGGAGCCATGCCGATTTTATACAGTTGAATCAACATGAATCAATTTTTTTTCACCAAAGGGAAATCTTAGAACCCTAATTTTTTTTTAGGGGACTGTTTCTTTTCTGCTTTTACGATATAAACAAGAAAGAAAGAAAAACCTTTTTTTTTTTATGTTTACTAGTTATTATCTAATTAAATTATAAATGGCAATTTTGTATTACCAGGGTTTTTTCGTCAATGCATACAAAAACTAAGATGCAATGATGGGAGAGGTAAGTTAGTGTAGGTAAAATTTTCAATTATTATTTAGAGAAATTAGGAGCTGCACCAACGGAGTATCGCCTAATTAGCTCCCTACCCAAACGCACTGTTTTCCCCAGCACAGTATTTATTCGTGACATGTTTACCCCTATACATAAACTGCATTGGAGCTTCTGTTCATCTCATGTTCAGTTCCTGTTCAGCTCCTGTTTCGATTTAGATTACCGATGCATACAATCTAATAAAATCGTATAATATCTGAACACTATCTGAAAAATTCTAAACAATATCTATAAAAATCTTCTGCTGTCAGACAGTAAAGTAAGGAGATTTAGATGAGCAATACTCTCAATCTATTACCACACACACATCTGTCTACGGAAAAAGGGGGAAAATCCCAAAGACGAAACCAAATCCCTAGAAAAGTTCTGAGGAAGAAGAACGAGTGTGGATGGAGAACGATCGATCGACAGCTCCGGCGTGTACTATACCGGAGAGAATATTCAAGGCTGGCTAAGAACCAACTGGTGTGAGGGTGACACCTTACCACAAACCGTTTGGTATAAGGAAAATTCTCAACGCTCTTAACCCCGAAGAAATTGAGCAAATTCGAGATTGACCTTTTGGTAAATTTGTAGAGCTTGCTGATAATTCCTTCTCTAGTCGATTTGGTCGCTATATAATCTCAAGACAGCTCAAGGTTACAAGAAAGCATGAGGCCTGGTTCCTATTTGCAGGAAACCCAGTAAGGTTTTCTCTTCGGGAGTTTGCTCTAGTAACAAGGCTCAACTGTGGAAAATTGAAGAAACGGTCGAAGAAAAGATTGGCCAACCGGAACATAACTGAGAAACCATACTGGGGAGAATTATTTGGTACTCTGAAAGAAGCTCCAGTGTTGTCCGTCATCCGTATGCTTAAGAAAAAAATTGTAATTGGTTCTGATTTGCATCTGAAGTATGCTTATCTTGCTTTACTCTCGTCTGTCATACTACAACCACCCATACACCCAAGATCTCCCAAGATTACGCTGAGATGATAAAAGATCTTGATAAGTTTTTGGCCTATCCATGGGGTAGAGTGTCGTTTGATATGCTTATGAGTAGTGTAAAAGAAAGGAAGGAACTGTCACTATCGCAAAACACGATTGCACTTAAAGGATTTGTGTTAGCATTACAGTTAGTGATGGTAGAATCCGTTCCTGCACTTACTGAGGTGGTTCACGACGGGAGCTCATCTGGCTCGGAAGACGATTTTAGAGAAGAGGAAGACGATATAGATGACGACAAAGCCATGAAGAAAAGTATCAGCCCTGGACATGCCCGCGAAATCGATGCTGCAGGGAAGGTATGTAGTTGAATTCAAATAAGTTGTTCAATCTGTAATTGCTAAATTTAAAGTACACCTGAATTCAAATAAGTTAATCAATCAAATTTCTAAATTCGAATAAGTTGTTGACATTCTGTAATTGATAACAACAATGATAAATTTAAATTCAAATGAATTCAAATAATGTATCACCTTACCACATCGTTGCTAAGTTTAAAGTACAAAGTAACGCGTTTTGTTTGTTCTCTTAGCAGGCGATTATGCATTCTATAATCTCCGGTGGGGATAAACCAAAATATCTAATCCGAAATATGAATCGAAGTAACAAAATACCCGTAACGGATATTGAATTATTGGAGATTGGATATCTAAAACCGAATGGATATCTGAAGATAACTAAACATATTTATATATACATATTTTATTCTTAGTTTATTTATCTCATTTTATTCAAAATATTTATATTAATGTTGTATATGGCTTAATATCAGATAATATATATATAATTATAAGAAAATGATTTGCTACTTATTTTAAATACATGTTAAGCTACTTATTTCATGTTTTAACAAAAGTTGCATCTAAAATTTAAAAATAACAATCATATTAATGATTTTTTATTTTCAATAATTTATTTTCAAACCTATTAATCGTGTAACCTATTAAACATTTAAAATATACGTAAGTTAATAGTAAAATTTTATATACATGAAACTTGAGAAATGAAGAACTTTAATTTTTTCTTTTAAAATCTAAATCCCAAAACCCGACCCGAAATAACCAATCCTGAATAAAAAATATCTGAACCTGACCCGATATATGAAAATACCCGGACGGATACTAAAATCCAATACCGAAATACCCGATCTGAACCTGAACGTCAGGGCTGGGAAAAAAAAACCGAACCCGAAAATCCGAACCAAACCCGGCCCGATAAAAAGGAATCCGAACCGATCCGAACCCGACATAAGTACCGAATGGATCTTGTTTTACGGTATTTCTGGTTATAGATATTACCCGAACCGAACCCGAACTTAAATGGATATCCGAAAGAACCCGAAACTTTAAAATTCTAAAAAAAAACTTGTATCATATCCAATCTAAATTTCTAATATGTTTCCTAAACAGATTAATATATTATTGAGTACCTACAATAATTAGTTATGATATAAATAATTAACTCAAATATTTAGTCTAATATATAGTGTTATTTGGTTAATATTAATGTTTATGATTGACATTACATTTGAAGTTAAGTTACAAATAAATTTGTTTTGAAGTTTATATAATGTTGTTTTTTTAAGTGTAAATAATACTTCTTATGTTTAGAGAATTGTTAGTTGTTAACTTTAATATTTATGTTTTATTATGTATAATATTTCGTTCATACAAGGTTTTGGTTTTTCATTAATCATGATATATTTAGTGTTGTCACATATAGTTAAATGACAAATCTTATTTGGTTGATAGATGAGTTTCACAATATTATTCTGAAGGAGAACAATATGGTTTGTGGAAGCTAAATACAAAAATTTAATAAAATACTTGAAAATATAGTGATTTTAATTGAGTATAAATTAGTATTTTTAGAACAGATAACCCGATTAATATCCGAAACCGAAATTATTTCGGGTTCAACCGGATCTTGGACATGTTACTAAACTCGAACCGAACCCGAATAAACCCGAACTGAATCCGACTCGAATTTTTATGATATCCGAACGGGACTGAAATTCATGAACCTGAAAACCCGAAACCCGAACCGAAACCTGATTGGGACCCTGATTGCCCAGCCCAACTGAACGCCTACTCCTAACTTTTGTCATTGTTTTAGAACATGTTTAATGGTAATATCCATATGGTATCTCTCCATTTAAAAGAAAAGAAAAAATGAGAGAGTAAGAGAGACATGAAAAATATTTCCGCAGACATACTTATTTTCTCTAGTACACATGGCATTAATTTACTGGCTTATAGTTTTAAATCTGCTTTTTAATGCCCTTACGCAAGACTTGTATTGGCCTCCCCTGTACCAGCCTCTCCTGGTTAGGAAATGTCAGTGCCTTTGTATCTAACTTCTATAGAGTTTTGTCGACTGCTCAGAATCACCCAAAGGAAAGTATACTCTCCAACGTTAGGACCATGAGAGATTATGGAGGAATCACATAACTATGTGTGTTCAGGGGAACGATGCAGAGACTGTAATGGAGACAGAGTACTTTAGATGTGAGCAAAAGCACTACCAAATAAAAGTAAAAGTACAAAATATTTCTACCATTTGGTCGTTTTATTCAATCATTCTTGTAATAACTTAACGCCGCATATTCTTAAAACATGTTAAGAGGAAACCTAAAATCATTTAGGCTTCTTCTCTAGTGAGTTTCGTTCAAACAACATCCTCAAAACCAAGTCGAGAACTGTCCGAAACAGCCTCGTTCTCTTGATTCTTCAGCTCCACTTCAAGCGCAAGCAACACTTGTCTCTGTTCCACAATCATTCGATCGAGTTCCCTCATGCGGGCACCACGTGTTTCCATTTTCTTCTTCTTCACGCAAAGCTCTTCAAGTTTCTTCTTCAACCAATCCAACTCAAAACCTACCCCTTCCAAATCTAAAAGCGTGTTCTCAGCATCTCTTAGCTCCTCCTCCGTGAGCTCCTGAGGAGCTAAGCAAACAATATCGATGAGGTCGAGGAGGGTATTCATGTACGCATTCCTCACCAATTGGTTCTTTGGACGAAGATTCATTGCGGTTTCTGGGTGTCTTTCGAAGATTCTTCTTACATACTCTACCTGATAACATGTTGGTGTCAAATCACAAACCAAAGCGATGATTGTTAAATGATATAATAAGTGTTCTTACCTCTGAGTAAAGAACTCGAAAGCCATTAACCTCCACTGTTCCATCGCCGTTCCACATGATGCGAGCTGAGTTTTTCTTGTACGGAGAAGCTTTACTTTCAGATTCAGCAACTGGAGTTTTGTGTTTGAGGAATGTCTTGTAACTGAACTATATATTAAATTCGATGCATGTATCCCAAATGAACGTGAGCTAATCGTAACTTAATACCACTACCTAGACATAACTAATAACATATGAATGTTAATGGCGTCACACGTCAAGCTACTTCTTTGGGAAATGACTAAATGCTCTGTTCAGACACCAATGACTTTACTTACTGATCAAGAAACACTCTAAATACTTTTTTACAAGGTGTGGATGTTTCTCACCCAGGTTTAGTAACTTATTTTCCAGAGTTTGAATACGACTACCAAATCGAAACCAAAACACATAACAACACAAACTTAAACCCATCAAACAACATCATCGAATGATAAGGGAGCTCTGGCCACAGACACATCTGCTTTCTCCTTCTCCAGCTCAGCTTCCAGGTTTGAGAACTTCAGCTTCAAATCCTTCAACTCTTCCTCTATCTCTTTCATCCTTTTCTCGCCAGCTTCCTGTTTCTCCTTCTTTTCTGACATTTCTTCCAATTTCTCTTCTAACCAATCTAAATTCATCCCTGCGTCTGTCAAGTACGCAAGAGAAGCATATGCGTCATTCAGGTCTTCCTTGGAGAGCTCCTGAGTCGATTGGCACAGCGTCTTGATTAGGCTGAGGAGGACGTTGATGTAAGCTGTCCTCAGATGCTGATTCTTTGGACGGAACTGTGACGCAATGTCAGGGTGTCTCTCAAATATACGGCTCACAGATTCCAGCTGCAAGTTAAGAAAAGATGAATAAAGTAACGCCTAAAACAAAACACTCAATACAACATACTCCAATATTACTGTTTCTTTTGTAGAATTTCTACGAAATAACCAAAACGTTGGCACCATTATTAGTTTTATTACCTGTGAAGGAAGAACTTGAAAGCCATTGACGTCCATGCTTTCATTCAATGAAACATCAAGAAAATCACTAGCCTCCACACCACCATCTTCCTCTACCTTGCTCAGTGATTCGGTTTCCTCTGGTACATCTAGTTTTCCAATAACTTCAAAAACTTTTACCAAAGCAACAATCTTGAGGTCTCCGTTTACAAGGAATCCACAATCTTTATCATAAATTGTGTCAAGTGGAAGCATTGATGTATAACCAAAGTCGCAGTCCCTCGCATCAAACCAGTGCTCTGTAACTGTTTTACAAAAAACAATATCTTATCATTGACTTCACTTCGAATCAAATCAAGCCATACATGAGCTTATATACTCCAAGATAGAAAACATCTCAGTAAACAATTAACTAGGAGCGTAAACTATGAAACCAAATCTAAACCAACCAAGCTCAAACACGCTCCAGCAACACAGAACTCCAGTTCAATAGCATTGTTACTATCTAAATAATTACTTTTGGGTATATATCATACTGTCACTCACATATAATAGTTTGGAGACAAGAATCTGTCAATTATTCGCCAACAAAATATCAAGTATTCACCTTTATTCTCGGAGAGTTCATCACAAACTTGATTCACTACACTTAAAGACAGTTCTGCTCGTCTTCTCCAACCATGGGGCAATGATTCACTACCAGCAACGTCAAGATACAGAGACAAACACTTAACACCATTTCCATTAGGAAAAGCAAGGAGACGCCTTCAAGAAAAAAAAACAGAGAAAAAAATGAAAAATAAAACAGTAAAATAAATACATAAATGGATGAAATTAATAGAAAAGTAGCAATCTTTCGCTACCATTTGCAACCACCAACAACGAATTCATCAGAGTAAATTTTCTCGGATTGAAGAGAGGAGAAGTTCCTAATCACCCAAGTGAACTTGTTATCTACTTCCTTCCCCATCGATCTTGATAGAAACTCCTAAAACAAGTAACGATTTTGAGCATAAAACCCTAATTATTTGGAGACTCTATATACCAATCTTCAATTTCAAAATTTAAACAGATTATTATAATCTAGATGACGAACAGAGTATAAGAAATCAATGAGTAGAGGGATCTACCTCTGAGAGAAACGCGTGGAAGTGAGAGAGTCGTTTAGGTTACGTTCGACGAAGGCGCAGCTCTCATAAATGCGCGAGTGAGAAAATATCTGGAAAATGATGGCAGTGTTGTTTTAAGTGAAGTTAAATTTAGGAAATGTGTTGAAAACTCGTACTCCCTCTGTTTCATAATAAGTGTCATTTTAGGTCTTGGCACACAGATTAAGGAAATAATTAATTTTACATATTTCCCGTATAAAAACACAATTACCTATACATCTCAACCAATAGAAGAATGAATTACAGAATAAAATCAATAAATTTTGCATAAAAAATCGAAAACGACACTTATTTTGCAACGAAAAAAATTGTCTAAAGTGACACTTATTATGCAACGGAGGGAGTATATGTTTCGTTAAACCGACATGGTGTCTACTAAGTGGAGAAAGAAAACGGCACGCAGTGCGATGTCTTTCGGAAACTTTTTAGACTATTACATTCAAGGTCACTTTGTCAAATATGAATAACACGCATTAACGCTCCTAAGACACTTTTTCACACCTTTTTTTTGGAGAGAGTTACAATATGAGTCACTTTTTAAGTTTCTCTATCTCAAAAGATCACTTTAGACTACTAGTGGTTTTATACCATTTTGTCCCTTGAAAAGATTTAAGTGGTGGACTCCAATAGAATAATAATTCTATTTGATTTAAAAATAATTATATATTTAGGTTTTTCTACTCGATAGGAAAGTAAAATGTTGCTTTTCTTTTTTTAAGATCTACAATTAACCTTTACGACGACTACATATTGAGGATTCTAAATTAGATCTTACCGCGAGGCTTCAAAGGCGAGAGGGGACGAGCATGCCGAGATGGAAACGGTGTAGAAGTTCATGAGTGGTAGCCAAGGCGGTGGATGAAGAGTTGTGGGAGAAGATGCTAACGGCAGCGGCGTAACTATTACAGTTGAAGCAATGAAGGGTTGGTGAAGAAGATGATAACGGCAGCAGTGTCAAGTGTCAAGTTTGCTACGAAGACACTTAATTTTGAAAACAAAGTTGTGAAAGCTCAGATTTGGGATATTGCTGGTCAAGAGAGGTAAGCATATGTTTGGTCTCTTTGATTCCTTCTGCTTTGTTAGTTTCTTTATGAAATTCTTAGAATCATAAGTGTTTGGTTAAGGATATTGTTACTGAATTATTACTTTTCTTGTTGTTTGTGTCTCTTTGTTAACATATTTGTAAAGCTGGTATTGTTTATACTTTGATAGTTATCGAGCAATCACCAGTGTTACTACAAAGGAGATGTAGGTGCTTTACGTGTCTACGATGTGACAAGGCACTTGACGTTTGAGAAGCAACGATATGGCTAAGGGAATGAAGGGGATAGACGGATCCAAACATAGTGGCGATGCTTATATGTATAAGTTGTACAAATGTGTATGTATAATTACTAATATAAGGTGTACATGTGGATATCATAATTTATGTACATGTAAAAATTTTATCATTGTACAAGTGAGATTAGGTGCACACATGTACAACTCTACATAGTATCCACATGTACACACTTGATTTAAGTGTTTACAAATCCATATTTCCAGAGAGAATCAATATACATTTTCAAAATAAAAGTAAAACATAACACTATATGTCCACAAGTTACTATGCCATACACAACACTACTCTCATATCTTGTAAGGCTATTGTTTAAAAAAAAAGATGAAGCTCCAACACGTAACTGAGACATAACTAACTAATAGTTTTGAGATGTATTGGAAGGTAAGTTCAAGATTTCAGCTGGAAAATCATTCTTTTGACAATAAATAGAAGTCCATTGTTCGCTTCAGATTCATCCATTGTCATGATTAAAAATTATAAAACAGTGTGTACAAACATTTTCTGCATGTACGTTTTATTATTATCCACATATATAATGATAAAATTTTCACACGTACATAAATTATGAAATCTACATGTACAACTTATATTAGTATTTATATGTACACATTTGTACAACTTACTTACATACTTTCAGACAAAATCATTAGTGTGCGTCCATTGTTCCCTTTAGTGTGAACTTTCCCTGCAATGATTCAATCACCAAATCTCTGTATAATGGAGTTCAAACCAAAAGCCTTTCTAAAAGTTTTGGCGGAGGTTTTATTGGTGAAACTTGGACCTTGCGAGAATCTGGGGAGCTTTTAATGGAGTCTCTAATCTCTTCTTAGCATGCTTATTCACCACAAAGCGTATATATTCTTTTCAAGAATAAAAATCCAAAAGCCAAATTTGAAAAAAGAATCCGATAGAGTATGGATGTTTATCTTCAATAAACAATACTGAATTTTTTATTTTTTTTTTACCAATTTAGAGACTGAATCCGAAACTGAATTACAATCGAATTTGAGCCAAAAAAAAAAACACAAACCTCTTGAGTAACTTTAAGAACACATTCTCTAGTTGAATTGCTTGCTCATCCATTACAAACCCACCAACAACCTCAAATCAATTCTGATAGAAATAAAATTTCTGGTTCAACAACTAAAGGATAAGACTCAGAACGAGGTACCAAACCGAGGGTCTCGAGAACAGAACGCACATGGTCACCGGATATGTAAAGCACATGGTCGCCGGAGATCTGAAGAGCATCCAAAAAAGCACCAACAGAGGCAGTTCCTATCAATTCATAATAGAAGCTATTTTTTGAAAGCTCTCTGAAAACAACTCCATGAATCTCAAATTTATTTACTGCGGCAGAGACGGAACACCACGATTCTCAGAGGAGGGAAGATCCGAACGTATTTGGAGTAGGTGAAGATGGAAAAGGAACAAAAGACGAAGAAAAGATGTGAGATTAGTGACTGATGGCAGAGAGAAAAAAAAAACCTAATTTGATAACGAAGATTGTTATTTTGCTTTCGAGAATAATGACAAGAAAATATAGAAAATTGGAATTTTGTTTTGCTTTTGTGTTGAAAAACTATTATAATGTGTCATAGTAGTAATATGTGACTCATTGTGATATTATAAAGATGAAAAGTGACCTTGAATGTAATATTCTCTCTTTTTTTTTTGTCTTTGCATAGCTGTCAACATATTAAATCTCTATATTATCCTTTTATTTTTGAACAACCCTTTTTCTTTCTATCATATCGTAAGTGTAATTTGATTAAAGGTCACTTTCTATCATATCGTAACCCAATGTGAACAACCCCTCTGGATTGTGCTCTCTGCAACACGAAGATCGCTGTGGCCACTACTTCATGATCCCTTCACACTGGGTTTGTGCTCCTCTTCAAAAAGAAGACCAATGTGGCCCCGTTGAGAAGCTCCAGAGTCATTGTTTCCGAGTTTTCTCCATCGCAATCAAGCTCCAGAAGTCTCAATTCACTATTGAACATCCTCTCCATCAAAATCAAAAATCGCAAGCCACCATGAGAGCACCGTCTAAGTCGTCTTCTACATCACCATGCTCAAGCTCCAACGCGACTATCTCGAAACAGAGCGACGATCTGGGTTACGATCTGTCTGACCCAACTTCACAGTTTCATAAATGGTCCTTCCACTACAAGAAAACTAAGCATTTACTAGGAAACTTTACTAGGAAAATAATTCCTCTTAAAATTACTAGAGTTTACTTCGAGTTTACTAGGAAACCATGTTTCCTCGTAAGGTTCTCGTATACTTACGAGAAAACAGTTTCCTCCTAAAGTCGTAGTATACTTACGTGGCCCTTACGAGGAAAAAGTCATTTTCCTCGTAAACCTGTAGTAACTCATTTCCTCGTAAAGTCGTAGTAATTGCTTACTACGAAATTAGGAGGATGGGTTTTTTTACTACGAAATTAAGAGGAACTAGATAGAAAATATCGAATTTAAATTTTGTACCTACTTTTACTAGTAATTTCCTAGTAAATTCTCAGATTCGAAAATTTCTATAAATACCACCATATGTGATTCATTTGAAACACACCAAACAAATAGAAAATACTCAATTCATAACTGAAAGGAGTTCACATTCAACATAATAGTTAATTATCAACTCGTCATAGCTTTTCCTCAAAGAAATAGCTTGGGGCTTTTCTTCAGGTAGATAGTTCGAGGAAAGCTATGTGGGTTGATAAAAACCGTTCCGATGACTGTATACTTCTTTTAGTTTTTTTTTTTAATTTGTGATTTGGGAGTTTAGGAAGATGTATAGTTATAAGTTATGGAAGTTGGTTTAGGTTTAGGGTTTAGGTTTAAGGTTAGGGTTTACGGAATTTAGATTAGGTGGTTAGTTTAGGGAACTTATGTTAGGTTGTTTAGTTTTTAAAATTTGGGGTTTAGGTGTAGAAGAGGTTAGGAGTTTGGTTGTAGAAGAGGTTATAAGTTAAGGAAGTTGGGGTTTGGGGTTTGGGGTTTCGAGTTTAGGGATTTACAAACCCTTTCCTCGTAAAGCCCTAGTAAGAGAAAACGCAGGCATAGTTGTTTCCTCGTAAAGTCCTAGTAATGTTATTACTAGGACTTTACGAGGAAAAAAACGCGGGCATAGCTATTTCCTAGTAAAGCAGTTTCCTCGTAAAGGCCTAGTAATGTTACTAGGGCCTTACGAGGAAACAAAATTCCTTATATAAACTCGAGCAATCCGATTTCTCATTTGTAGTAAGCTTTTCTCTGAATTCTCTTAAGGTTCTCTCTATTACCTACTTAGGTGGTTAGATTAGGGAATTTAGATTAGGTGGTTAGATTAGGGAATTTAGATTAGGTGGTCAGTTTAGGGAATTTAGATTAGGTGGTTAGTTTAGGGAATTTAGATTAGGTTGATTTAATTTTTTTAACTGTTTTTTTTTAAAAAATGATACTAGTATATTAATGATACTAGTTGTCGAGCCGG